GCAGCGTGTTTTGTTTGTTGTAAGTGTTTATTTATTCAAACACAGTTAATATAAGTACATTTATATTCAATAAATGTATAAGGTATAATACAGTGTTGGAATGTTTAATGTGAACATTGAGCAGCTCTTTATAGTTGCAGTATTGCACATTTATGTTGAATCCATTTTTATCTGGAAAGTTTAGCGCTTTAGTTCATCCACTGCTTTTGCAGTTACTTGAACAAAGAGTTAAATTATTAAATACATTTTAGCATGATCATTTCCGGTATCGGTCAATATCGGTATCGGCAGAAACCCTTAGCTCTGGTATCGGTATCGGTAGTAAAAAAGCTGGATCGGTGCATCTCTAGTGTTAATAGCGTTGTTGTTGAATATTGTAGTTTTAATCATTAGTTGCTTTCATTGTTAATTAGTTAGCTGAATTTAGCTTAGGACTTTTGTTAGTAATATTTGTGTTCTCTATCGTGTTCAACTTCATTTTCTATTGTTTATTGTACTTGTGTACAAACTTCCTGTTTGAGCGTGTGTTAAATTACTGTCTCTTTTGTGCACATTGGGGTATCTTTTCTATCCAAAACACCTTCGGGGTTTCCATGCGGCACAAGTTTTCCCTCGGGGACAAGGAGGTGCAGTGGCCGTAGGTTATTGTGGCAGAGTTTAGAATATTACAACTGTATGACCCCACAACATATACAGTAATTTATCTTGGTCTGGGTTCATAAATAAATTGTACAGACAAAACTGTTAAGCAAAGCACCGCAACATAAGGGGTTACTGTATGGGAATATGGAGAGGCTACATAAATGGCCACTCTTTTCAAAGGTTCGATTCAGACAGGTTTGCATTTCGGGTCCGGATCCCTACATGATTGCTCTTCAAGACCAGTGGCAAGCAGTTCATACTTTTTATTCCACTCTAATCTATATCATTCAGAAACAGGCCCCATTCTGTGGCGGTCAGCTGCCTCCGTTGCCTCTGCAGCATCGCTCCCCAGGTGGTGCCTGCTAGCTTGCGAGCCGAGCCGCTAGCTCTAGCACTCCAGTGTTCCTTATTAAGTCACTTTAATGCCCATCATAACGTCACTTACTGCTTCTCATTGCACTGCCTACTGCATATTGTACATTGTAATTCAAACTCTTTTCCCTATTTAAATACAGTTACGTGACGTGTTACACTACAAAGACTTCACTCCTGCTCACTTCCGTCAATAGAAGCAGCGTGACTTGTTGGTGTTAGTGCGCGGACATAGTGCTCCTCGTATTATTACGCCTCACAATATAGTACCCCTTTTTATCTGCTGAGAAAATCGACATGTTACATTTCTGTGTTACTATACTTTGTAGAGTAACACGTCACGTAACTGTATTTAAATAGGGAACACGTGGAAGAGTTTTGTAGCTTCTAACGGGAGCTGATTTGGAACTATACAGTATGTGGAAGAGGCTGCATTTGTGCTCCGTTTGCATGACAGAGCGCACGGACAAAGACCAGACAGGTACATATCAACTAGTCTAAGGTAAGGTAAGAACATATGTCAGTATGTAAAAACGGTGGCCTATTCCTTTAAGTCCCGCCTTCCCTTCTCTTAGTTATAGCTCAAAATTCACAATGCCGTCCACTTTAACCGATCAAGTGTTGTTAAGGGCTGTCAATTATTCCGCTCGAACTCGTATATACGTCAAATATTATATATGTAAACATATATTTCGAACAAATATTAGACAGCCCTTAATATTTGAAGCTGTAATGGGCATTATCTTTTTGAAATGATACATATGAAATAGTTAGTTTACAAAGGTTTCTCGTGCCGTGACTAAACGGAACAGCAAGGCTAGCTAACTAACTAGAACTCTCTGGAACTATATGAAAAGTGAACAAAGAATTCTGAACTTCAGCGGTGAGTAACCCAAATATAAACTTAACTGACCGGTGCTGAAAGCTTGTTGCGACGAAGTGTACGAACTACTATCAAGAGTAATCTTAGGATTTTACACACCTGAATTACAAGCACAGGGTGCGCTGCCAAAGGACAGAGGGCCTTATTAGTTTGAGAGGTCCGTTATCAAGAAATAATGATCGGTAGAAAGCTTTGAAATTACATTCAAATCAATGGATCATTCTACTGCTGCTGTGAGGAGCTGTATAATAAATAATAATTAAATATTCAAATATTTATATTAATAACCTCTCCTCCGCACATCTCTCTTTTTCTGACAAACTTCAGACTAGCTGCGTTTTCACCGCGGGAGTTCCTGGTAAAAGGAGCGGTACAAGCTCCATTCATTTAAACGGGTGACTTAAAAAAATCACCCCCCTCAGCATTGACACCTGTGGAACGGAGCTTTGGGCCAAGAGCCAACTTTTGGTCCATCCTGTGAAGACGTTTTCGAGAGGTCAGCTAATGCTATATGTTAGCATTGGCTAATTCTTCTTCTGGGTCCACCCCCATCGGCCCGGGGTGGTATTGCAAGCATGTCAGCGCACATCATTTTGGCCACTTTTGAGCCGGGACCCGCCCCCACTGGTTGGTTCCAAAGCCTGACGCTAAAGGACAGATACAAGGTAGAGTGTTGTGAGAACTTGCTCTAAAATCACCTGAGGAAAACTCAGAGACCTTCACTCTCTGTGGGAGGAACAGGTGCTGAATAAAGCAAAATGTATTCTGGCTCACAGCCCAAACATACTCTGATCGCTGACTTTGTAATGATGCCTTCAGGGCGTCATTTTTATGCTCCAGCAGGGAAAACAAACTGTTTTTCCAATTATTTTGCGCCCTCTGCCATAAAACTGTTGAACTCTGGAAGAGGTGTTTGACTTTTGGGAATTGTGTTGTTGTTTTTTAACTTATATTGTGTAACCTGCTGCTGTGTGAAGTGTGAGGCCTGACTGACAAAACTTACGGTTACGATACATTTTTCATCTGACCCCTTTTTGGAGGGGCGGCTCAGCGCGCCCATTGGCTGGAGACACCGGATGTTACGTCATCACAAAAGCAAAACACACACCCTTCAAAATTCAAGTCTCGTTCGAACTCTCTACATCGTATGATTGATCACATTTTTCAACTGGGCTGGCTATTATAGGCTTTGACGTGGTAAGTGCACTCTTGTGGAAACCCTAATTACACCAGGTCATGTTTAGATCGTGTGAAACATGCTCTCGTAATAACGTCATATGCCTGTTGCCCCAAGGCTAGCCAGCTAAGCTACATCTCGGGACCTTCATCACCACTGTAATAAAACGTTGTTCACACTGAATGCTTTGTCATGTCAGGATTATCTACTGCTATCAAAGGGGTGAATAAAACTATGTCCTTTGATTTTTTTGTTTGCTTATTATTTACATAATTATAGCGGCTTACCTAATGAGCCCATGCTAGCTAGCAATGAATCTGTCAGTCTAGACTCAAAAATCACACTGGAGGGGGAGGAGACTGGACAGATGCAACTTCCATTTTCAGAAAAAAGTACGGACCGAAACATCTATTTTGAAGCAGAAATTTTCATCCAAAGAATCCTGATCTCCAACATTCCGTTTTGGGAAGAATATGCAGCTCTGAACGGACTTTTGATCACCACGCATAGCATGTAAACAGCAATTCAACATGAGGGGCTACACTCAAAAGACCCTTGATCAGCCCTTTATGAAGGCAAAAAGCATAGACCGGAATGCTTCTGAAAGGAAGAGTTCACACTTTTCCCCTCCCCATCAAATACAATTTTTTGCCCTCTAACAATAACAGCAGCACTGCTCACAAAATGAAAAACAAACTATCAACAAAAAACTGAGCAGTTTATCTTGTGACCATTCTCTGGGGCCACTGTTATCACAAAACGCCAACTTTTCTCATTTTAGCGCCCTCCCACTCCTGAAAGGACAAACTGGTGAGGAGCTACTGCCCCCTCCAAAAATCGACCGCCTTCTCCTTCAAAAAACCATGGTCCTTTTATGTGTGGTTCCATGAAACATGCCACAGATTAATCGGACACTACATTTACCGATGCTAAAAAGGAGAAGACCTTTAAAATCCATAGCTTTGCTAAACTGCAACTCAACATATGTGTTGTACAGAATTGACTGTGAATGGGTGGCTTTTATGTGGGACGTACCAAAGTAAAACTAAAGAGAGGTTTGCAGAACATAAATACAATCAAAACTCAGAATCTGACTATCCGCTGGCCAAACATTTTAAACTATGGCCATACCAACATCAATGGACTATCAAAATCATGGTCATCAGAGACAATGAAAAGGCCTCAAGGGGATGAGATAACTCAAAAAACTGCTCCAAGGGAGACATACTGAAAGATAAACGCTTGGAGCTAATGCATCACCCTGGACCTAAATGAGGAACTACGACTTTACCCATTTTTGTAGTTTTTTGTAGTTGTTTTGGAATAATAGTGTTATGACAGTGGTTTTGTGATCCGTTTGAATGTAATACGGATGAAAATAAAAAACATGCATTTCACTGCCTTGTTATATCATGTTTATTACAGTTGTGCCTCATCTATATGCTCGCTCGCACTCTTACTTTTCCTGTGCGCTTTGGTGCGTACGTGTCTGAATGTAAATAGCTCCAAGTATTTATACATAGTTTTTTCACTATGATCGAGTCACACTGGTGATTTTTTGTTTCACAAAAATGTTCTGTCAAATTTTCTGTCACATGTTCTTCCTGTCATGGTGACAGCCTTGCTTTTAAAAGAGGTTTCACCTGCTGGTGATTATTTATGCCTGACGAGACCGCTGTTGGTCGAAACGCGTAGGCAGTCCAAGTCATTAAAGGTCTTTTAATTATTTTCACTAAAACAAGTCACTCAGACTACCTTTTGTTCTCTGCTTTCTACATGCTTTAGATTGCCCCCTCTCGACAGAGCACGTTTTTTTTATTGCCTTCTATCACACGTACCCTCTGCAAGCACTCACCTTTTTGAGTGGTCTTTTAACTAATAGAAAGATTGTTTGTAAGATTCGTCAAGAGGCGTAGGGCTCTAGAGATGCACCTCAGTGTTGGATCTTTGGGGGCGCATTTTTTTTGGGTGTGTGTGTGTGGGGGGGGGGGGGGGGGGGGGGGGGGGGGGGGGGGGGGGGGGGGGGGGGGGGTGGGGGGGGGGGGGGGGGGGGGGGGGGGGGGTGTTGTTTCTGCAATTACAACTGGCCCTTTAACTTTGAGCATTTTTCAGAGAATCCTGGAACTGTGTAGTCAACATGTAAGCAAGTAATCATTTATATAGCGCATTTCACAGACCAAGGTCACACCAAGCGCTTTACAATATTTGGTTATGAGTAAATACCCTGAGAAACAAACAGTTGAAAGCAGGAAATGCAATAATAAGTAGGTCCATAGGGGCGGGTGACCAATGTCCATAAATAATAACATAATAATATATCCACAGAAAGGAGACATGGAGACAAGCAGGTGCCGAAACCTCCCTCCGAAACCTGTAACAGCACTTCAACTCACATGGAGAAATAATCATTTTACACAACTGACTTCAAACACAACAGCTTGTTGTCACAGAGGGCCATGTGGTGGTTGGATTTTCACACTGACATCACCGCGTGGGAAAGTTGCTTCTTGTCCTCTTTTATCTACCGGCTGACCTCAGATCTGTTCAGCTGAAGAGCTGCTAAAACAGAGAAAAAAAACCTGTTCTTTTTCCAAGTATCCAAAGTAACGTCCAGAGAGCACACAGAACAGAGCCTCGTGCCAACATACACCGGCTCTGGAAGTCCATGAGAAGCCTGTCAGTGAGAGGAAGGAAGTGGAACACACCCCTCCATCTGAAACAGCCCATTGCCGGAAAAAGAGAGCTTTGGTCAACACACATGACACGGCACAGAGTCCAATATGGATTTTCCACTGAGCAAACACTTTACCAAGCAATCTGTGAGATGTAAACCTAGAGTTCTGACAGTCATATGGACATGGTTCTTACTTTTTCAGTTGAAGACACCTGACTTTGCATGTGACAGCCAGATCCTGTCAGACCTGTGAAGCTAAGGGCAGGACAAGGCCTGGTTAGGGAGGCTGGGATACAACTGGGAACACCATGTGCCACTGGGGGCGGCTGTAAAGGGCAAATTTCATAATTCACAAATTGAAAAGAACCAAAAAAGACGTGAGAGCGAGGAACGAGATAGATGGATTTAATTACATGCAATGATTCCATTTTGTGTGGATTGAAAGTAAAGCACCCCAGTTTTCAGGAATGATGTTTTGTTTTTTTGTTTTTCAAGAATTCAGATGTAGTTGTTGAGTGTCTGTGTGTAATTCTGTGATTTGTATCTGTAACTTTCAAGATGGCCGTCCTCTGTATGTCTTGCGCCTGGGGCAAATGGACACAAAGGGGCTGGTGCGAGCTCTGGGAGAGGAAGTGTTACTCAAACAGGTAATGCACATTTGGGAATTATATCAAGAAATATACCTTTTGTGTTTGTTTTATTCAAGCTTTTCATTGCGATCAATCCTATACTTGTTCTTTGGTGGTGCACAGCTTTGTCGGATATCTATGATCATGATAGTTGTTCAATTTACTATATCTCTACCGCAACCATAATGCACATGTTCTTAATTGTTAATGCTTCTGGAAACAATTACAATCTACACTCTGATCAATTTTTAGAATAAAAAAATTGTGCAAACACAATTGTCCTGTTGTAATACACACTCAGAGCAGTTTTCCGCATTTTATAACAAAAGTACTGCCCATAATTGAGTTTTAGTCAATTTCTCAGGTGAAATGCCGTTCTCTATAATCGCATTGCTGTGTTTGCAGCCGTAAAACAAAACATATTTTCAACACCTCCCCCTGGTGGTAGCGTTAGGAGCTACAGACATATTTTTACCCTTCAGACTTGTTTTTCACCATATGTTCTACTGAAGATATTTCATATTCTACAAAATTAAATGATTAAGTAAATAGTCTCATTATCATGCTTTATGAACAAAAATATGCGTAATATTTATTTTTTAAGGTCACATCCATATGGTTTTAAAATACATAAACATAAACTATAAAATCCAGAGTTCTTTACTTCTGGCTGCTAACTTCTGTGTGGCCCTTTTGCCCGATGATCCAAGGTGCTGTCACTGAACGAAGAAGGACTGCGGCGCTGCGAGGAGAACACCAGAGTTTTTGGCCGGCCTGTCAGGTGCTTATACTTAATTCAACATGGTTTTGCCCAGCGGCTTCTACAGCACTCCTCCCTCTTCTCTCTCCTATAGCTGCTGGACCTGTCTGGTGGACCTGGAGGGCTTGAACATGCGCCACCTCTGGAGACCGGGCATCAAGGCTCTGCTCCGGATCATCGAGGTGGTGGAGGCCAACTACCCAGAGACCCTGGGCAAACTTTTAATTGTGCGAGCGCCCAGGGTCTTTCCGGTCCTGTGGACACTGGTGAGAAAATATATTGTTTGTCTTTTTAATCTTGAAGTCTCATAGACAAGTCGTAACTTTGAATGGATATTTTCACTCAAACGCAATAAGCAGAACAATAAAAGTCTTAATCCTATGGGCGTCGTTTTGATGAATACAGCAATAAGCAGCAGAGGAGATGAGCGCTCAGAGACGATCAATTTAAAAACTAATTTTGAGCGGAGCATGGAGAGATTCAATGTAATAATGGAGATATAGTGGTGAATTCTTCATTGGCGTGTTTCATATAATTCTTGTTTTAATTTATTTGTTTCTCTCAACTTAGACTGAATGTCAATGAATGTGTCAGAAATGTGGCAGTTATAAAGTGCTGGCTCATTTTCAGCTGTCCCATGGGCGTAGTGGAAAGAGGCCAGCAAAAGAACTTTCCTTAGAAATGACTCTAATAAAAACATGGCTTGATTTCGTAATGTAATGCTTATTTATATAGTGCATTTTACAGACCAATGTCACCCAAAGAGCTTTACAATGTTCAGAAATCAGATATTGTTCCATTCTCTTTACACACTGTCAAATCAATCCCATCCATTCACTCACTCATTACATTTATACCTATTGTACATGTTTTAAGTGGTTGGAAACCCACGCAGGCACTGGCAGAACATGCAAACTCTACTCAGAAATACCCTTTTCCGACTGGGATTTTAACCCAGGATCTTCTTGCTGAGAAGTGAGAGCGCTATCCATTCAGCCACCGCGCCGACTAATTTCCTCGAAAATGTTGTTCCATGGGTTATAATCTGAAGCATTTTTGAGGGATCACAAAGGCAGAAGTGGCTGAGGAGGAGCAGCTCCCCCATCATCCAGTGATAGGTGAAAATCCTCCGGCTCTGGTTGTCTGAGCCTGACGGGTCGCCTCAGAAGCATTTAACGATGGGTCAAATGCAGAGGACAATTAAGGAAACCTTTAGTCTAAGAATTAAGACATCCCTCTCTGATAATGCTGTTTCAATCTCACACAACAAACAGACATAGTTCATCTTTTACTTGTTACATTGTACAAGGAGAATGTCTTGACAGAGGCAAGGCAGAGCCTAGCCTCTCTCAGGAACAAATCTGAAGATTTACAGTCTGCAAGCCCCTTTTGGTAGAACAAGACACACATATGCAGAATAGGAAAGGAAGAAACCAACACAACAAAAGGACAGTGAGCCTTCAACATTAGCATCAAAACCTGCTTCCTCCTGGCATTAGCATACAACCCCCCAAACACTCTGGAGTCAACAGTGGATTACAATTATACAGTTTATATTTTAGCCACTTGTTATTTACTAAAATTATAACTTAAACAACATTCCAAGGACACTCTCCATGCACCCTCCCTCAGCTCATCCAGGGGAAATCTAGGCACTCCCAGTCCAGCTAAGAGACATCGTTCCTCCATCTCCTGGATATTCTCCTGGGTCTCACTTCACGGTGGGACACTCCCAGACTAGGATCTATCTGATGAATCCCAAGCAGTTTTGGGGAAGTTACTTTTAAAAAGTAGTTTTTCTCATTACTCGTTACTTCTTATAAAAAGTAACTTGTTTCTTTATTGAGTTACTCTCTAAAGAAAGTAACGTTACTCGTTACTTTTATGTTACTTTTTTGTTACTGTTATTTTTCACAAAAAACGAGACGGATCAAAACCATAAACTGTCATTGACTTTGCATTGAAACTGGATGTATGTGCCACAGACATGGGCAGATTTAAAATGGCCGCGGGCAGCCCCTCTCGCAAGAAAATGTGACAAAAGGCATTTGCGCATGCGACAGCTGGCACGAGCTCCATTCAATTAACGAGTGCACTCAAAATTCTACAGCGGCTAAACTATTCATTCATTTTCAACCCCTTTATAAGTCAATTTCTGGGTTGGGGGGTGGCAATGAGAGCTGCCATCCAATGCTCATAGTCCCTCGCTGATCCTCCGGCAGGTGGTGGGTCCACAGGAAGATGGCTACTTGGCCCAGCCTTGTTTTTACAGCAGGGGCTTCAGGCAACGTGGGGTTAATTGTCTTGCCCAAGGACACAACGACAGTAGGCACTTGTGGGAGCATTTAGAGTAGGTCACATTGTGGGCTTGAACCCACGACCTTCAGGCCCAACGGCCAATGCTCTACCAACCTTGCCACTGTCGCCCCTGAAACTAAACTAGGCTGGTCCAATAAAGAAATACTCCCCTCAGAATTGACACCCATCTGGAACTTAGCGTTGGGCCAAGAGCTGACTTTTGGACCACCCTGTAAAGCCGTTTTCAAGAGGAAAGAAAGAATACAAATGCATTGGCTAAGTCTGTTTCCGGGTGTGGGCGGGTGTGAACCCCCCCCCCCCCCCCCCCCCCCCCCCCCCCCCCCCCCCCCCTCCCCCCACCCCCTTAATGCTCTGAACTAGTGATGGGTCGTGCCGCGTTGGCGCTTCGAGGCGTGAGTCTTCAGCGGAGCGCGGGCCGAAGCCTGATTTATTTCAGGTGAGTGACGTCACTAATGACGTTTGAAGCCTCGTGAGTACAGGAAATGGAGCGATTCATGAAGTACTGCAGAGGATAGATGTTGTCACTAATTGGATAGCTCAGTTGTTCATATGTTTTAAAAAACATACATGCGAAAGTTATTGGTTTTAAACAACTGATAGGGTCACAATCCCAATGTATATCCCCATCTGTGTCACAGCCTTTGAAAAGCACTTGCACTTTCAACATATGTCTTTTTGTCATATTGGATTTATTACATTGATTTTGACTTGACAAGCTATAATCAGTCATTATTAAATATGTATCTATATACAGTGGGGCAAAAAAGTATTTTGTCAGCCACCGATTGTGCAAGTTCTCCCACTTAGAACAGAGGTCTGTAATTTTCATCATAGGTACACTTCAACTGTGAGAGACAGAATGTGAAAAAGAATATCCAGGAATTCACATTGTAGGTTTTTTAAATAATTTATTTGTAAATTATGGTGGAAAATAAGTATTTGGTCACTTCAAACAAGGAAGATCTCTGGCTGTCACAGACCTGTAACTTCTTCTTTAAGAAGCTCTTCTGTCCTCCACTCGTTACCTGTATTAATGGCACCTGTTTGAACTCGTTATCTGTATAAAAGACACCTGTCCACAGCCTCAAACAGTCAGACCCCAAACTCCACTATGGCCAAGACCAAAAAGCTCTCGAAGGACACCAGGAAAAGAATTGTAGACCTGCACCAGACTGGGAAGAATGAATCTACAATAGGCAAGCAGTTTGGGGTGAACAAATCAACCGTGGGAGCAATTACCAGAAAATGGAAGACATACAAAACCACTGATAATCTCCCTCGATCTGGGGCTCCACGGAAGATCTCATCCCGTGGGGTCAAAATGATCATGAGAACGGTGATCAAAAAACCCCAGAACCACCCGGGGGGACCTGGTTAATGATCTGCAGAGAGCTGGGACCAAAGTAACAAAGGTCACCATCAGTAACACACTACGACGACAGGGAATCAAATCCTGCAGTGCCAGACGTGTCCCCTGCTGAAGCCAGTGCATGTCCAGGCCCGTCTGAAGTTTGCCAGAGAGCACATGGATGATACAGCAGAGGATTGGGAGAATTTCATGTGGTCAGATGAAACCAAAGTAGAACTTTTTGGCATAAACTCAACTCGTCGTGTTTGGAGGAAGACGAATACTGAGTTGCATCCCAAGAACACCATACCTACTGTGAAGCATGGGGGTGGAAACGTCATGCTTTTGGGCTGTTTTTCTGCTAAGGGGACAGGACGACTGATCCGTGTTAAGGAAAGAATGAATGGGGCCATGTCTCGTGTGATTTTGAGCCAAAACCTCCTTCCATCAGTGAGAGCTTTGAAGATGAAACGTGGCTGGGTCTTCCAGCATGACAATGATCCCAAACACACCGCCCGGGCAACGAAGGAGTGGCTCCGTAAGAAGCATTTGAAAGTCCTGGAGTGGCTGTGGCCATTGAAAATCTGTGGAGGGAGTTGAAAGTCCGTGTTGCTCGGCGTAAGCCCCAAAACATCACTGCTCTCGAGAAGATCTGCAGAGGAATGGGCCAAAATACCAGCTACTGTGTGTGAAAACCTGGTAAAGACCTATAGTAATCGTTTGACCTCTGTTATTGCCAACAAAGGTTATATTACAGTATACAGTATATAGTACAGTATAAAGTACTGAGTTGAATTTTTGTTATTGACCAAATACTAATTTTCCACCATAATTTACAAATTAATTCTTAAAAAATCCTACAATCTAAATTCCTGGATTTTTTTCACATTCTGTCTCTCACAGTTGAAGTGTACCTATGATGAAAATTACAGACCTCTGTGCAAGTTCTCCCACTTAAAATAATGACAATGGGCCTCATTCACGAATAACTTCGTAAGAAACTACTCAACTTTCTTCTCAAGTTGTCCTTAAGTAGATTTCTAAGAAGTCCCCACGTGGGATTCATCAACGCACTCGTAAGCCGCTGAATTGTTCGCAGCTGTTCTCTCAGATTGATGAATCCCATTTCCTCGTAAGTACAGCGCGCGTGCCCGGTGCTTCATTACCATAGGTACTTAGCATAAGTAACCGCCCACTAATGCCCATATAAGGGACTGCAGGGCCGTGTGCAGACGCCAGAGGAAACAGCAACAGGCCTAAAGCAGGCTTTTGCCAGACTGAGAATAAAGTTATAAAATGTTGACTTAAAAGTCGAAATATTATGATTATAAAGTCGAACTAGCAAAATTATGAGATTAATCTAAGAATATGATGAGATTAATCTCAAAATGTTATGAGCTTAATTTAAAAATATATTATGTATTATTTTAAAGATGAATCTCAAAATGTTTTGAGATTTATCTCAAAATATTTTGGACCCTGGGAGGAGATCCAGCGCGGACCAGCGCTGAGACCAATGCAGACCCGAGGAGAGACTGGAGTGACCAGCACACAGAAACCAGCGCGGACAGGAGAGACCGCATAGACTGGAGACACCTGACTGGAGAGACCGGTGCGCAGAGACCAGCGCGGACCGAAGAGAGACCGCATAGACCAGACTTGAGAGACCAGCGCGGACCCGTATGGATCCATGGGAGACACCAGCGCAGACCCGTATAGATCCATGGGAGAGACCAGTGCAGACCCGTATAGATCCATAGGAGAGACCAGCGCAGAGACTCAGCGCGGACCCAGTAACCTCCTGCAGCAGCAGTATATATGCCGTTGTTCTGTGGCCCGTGGATAAAGAAATGCCCCCTATAAATAGGAAGGGATCACTAATACACGGCAAGATTTCCAATGTATTTGATAAAGCGTTGGCACATTTCATTTCAAAATGAATTAAAAAGTAGGCCAGATCTGCAGTGAAAAAGGCGGTATATAAATAAAGATTACTAATAAAGATTACTACAAATAAATAAATACATACATCGATATGACGGACATATCACTGGAATGTTGTATTTTTATTCAACTTCACCAAAGAGGACAACCCCGGCGTGTGAACATGTCGGCACTGAATGCGTACGAGTGCTCCTGAGGACTCGTAGGATTTGTACTTGCCCAAGTGAAATTCTGGTTACGAGAAATATTCGTGAATGCCACTTTCTTCGTAAAAACCGCGTAAGTAGGATTTACGTACAAATCTGTTCCTAAGAACCGTTCGTGAATGAGGCCCAATATATCTATATATGTTTGTTTGTGTATTAGAGCAGACAACTATACCAGTTACCAGTACATTATAATGTTATTGTCATTTAAAATATATTCGTTATTACTACTGACATTGATCATAATCAAACAGATGAATTAATGGGTCATACAAAATCAAATTACATTTGAATTTCTGTTACCAGTATTAATTCCTATGGAGCAAGAGCCTCACAAACAGTTCAAATGTCAATACTGATTTTAACTAACAGGGGGTTTGTGAGCATATGTGAGCGTCAGGAAATGAACCTTTTCTCGAACCAATAGATGGAAAGGTTCAACACTTCATGAAGTTTCATTAACCCATCACTACTCTGAACCAATGGAATTCTGGGAAAGACCTTGAGACGCTAATGAAACGCTTCTACACACCGACCCAGTTGATACGCAAAGCGAAGCAGTGGCTGCAGAGTCCGAGACACTGACACATTTATCACATGAGTGGCCGTTTTGATACACGCTCCAATGAAGTGTTTTGAAGCAGTTTGCTTCGGGAAGAGCGACACACGCTCCGTAGCCTCAGTGTTGTTACTTTGTGATGCGTTACACCCAACACTGATCCCAAGCCACCTGAGCTGGCCCCTCTCAACGTGGTGGAGCAGCCACTGTGCAGAGAAAACTCATTTGAACCGGATGTATCATCAGACTTTCATCTGTCCTTTCAATCTCTTGCCAAAGCTCCTGAAGTGGAGGGCGAGTACGCAAACTGACGGGTAAATTAAGAGCATTGGGCCTCATTCACGAACGGTTCTTAGGAACAGATGTGTACGTAAATCCTACTTACGCGGTTTTTACGAAGAAAGTGGCATTCACGAATATTTCTCGTAACCAGAATTTCTCTTGGGCAAGTACAAATCCTACGAGTCCTCAGGAGCACTCGTACGCATTCAGTGCCGACATGTTCACACGCCGGGGTTGTCCTCTTTGGTGAAGTTGAATAAAAATACAACATTCCAGTGATATGTCCGTCATATCGATGTATGTATTTATTTATTTGTAGTAATCTTTATTAGTAATCTTTATTTATATACCGCCTTTTTCACTGCAGATCTGGCCTACTTTTTAATTCATTTTGAAATGAAATGTGCCAACGCTTTATCAAATACATTGAAAATCTTGCCGTGTATTAGTGACCCCTTCCTATTTATAGGGGGCATTTCTTTATCCACGGGCCACAGAACAACGGCATATATACTGCTGCTGCAGGAGGTTACTGGGTCCGCGCTGAGTCTCTGCGCTGGTCTCTCCCATGGATCTATACGGGTCTGCACTGGTCTCTCCCATGGATCTATACGGGTCTGCACTGGTCTCTCCCATGGATCTATACGGGTCTGCACTGGTCTCTCCCATGGATCTATACGGGTCTGCACTGGTCTCTCCCATGGATCTATACGGGTCTGCACTGGTCTCTCCCATGGATCTAGACGGGTCTGCACTGGTCTCTCCCATATACGGGTCTGCACTGGTCTCTCTCCATACGGGTCCGTGCCGCATGCTCCTGGATCCATACGGGTCCGCGCTGGTCTCTCAAGTCTGGTCTATGCGGTCTATCTTCGGTCCGCGCTGGTCTCTGCGCACCGGTCTCTCCAGTCAGGTCACTCCAGTCTATGCGGTCTCTCCTATAGGTCCGCGCTGGTTTCTGTGTGCTGGTCACTCCAGTCTCTCCTCGGGTCTGCATTGGTCTCAGCGCTGGTCCGCGCTGGATCTCCTCCCAGGGTCCAAAATATTTTGAGATTAATCTCAAAACATTTTGAGATTCATCTTTAAAATAATACATAATATATTTTTAAATTAAGCTCATAACATTTTGAGATTAATCTCATCATATTCTTAGATTAATCTCATAATTTTGCTAGTTCGACTTTATTATCATAATATTTCGACTTTTAAGTCAACATTTTATAACTTTATTCTCAGTCTGGTAAAAGAAGAAAAATGGGTGACTCTTTTGCTCCGTGGCCTGTTGCTTTAGGCCTGTTGCTGTTTCCTCAGCCGTCTGCACACGGCCCTGCAGTCCCTTATATGGGCATTAGTGGGCGGTTACTTATGCTAAGTACATATGCTAATGAAGCACCTGGCACGCGCGCTGTACTTACGAGGAAATGGGATTCATCAATCTGAGAGAACAGCTGCGAACAATTCAGCGGCTTACGAGTGCGTTGATGAATCCCACGTGGGGACTTCTTAGAAATCCACTTAAGGACAACTTGAGAAGAAAGTTGAGTAGTTTCTTACGAAGTTATTCGTGAATGAGGCCCAATGTCTTTGGACACTGCCCCCGCTTCACCACATCTGTCCATGAGAGCGACTGCATCATTACACACACTGTACCAATCCGTATGTCAATCTCAGTATGGTATAACTTTATACCATTTTTCTTTTTAGCACCAACATGTCCATGGTTTGATGCACCAGGGCCAACAGGAAAATTCTTCTGCACCATGAAAGGGAATGTGTAATACGGTACAGATACAGGGAGACGATGGCATGAAATATGAGGAAAAAAAGCAGAATGTTGAGAAACAATTATGCAATACTGTGAAAGTCCGGGAAACAGTTCTGATCCACAGAATTCATCCACCATACCACAGTCATCATACAAAGACTATTGGTTCTGAAAGACATTTTCTTATCTCCAAATTGTCAATGTTTGCCCTCTTTATGTGACATTATTTTCTGCTCAGATCAAGTTTTAGGACTTAATTAATTTCTAGTCAAGAGTTATCATATATTGTAAACAGGTTTTCATTTTATGATTTTAGCAGCTCACTGTATATTCCAAGTTATCTTTATGCTCGTGCCAAAACTCTTCACAGCTCAGACAAGTGTTCTTTCTGATGTGTTCAAGAACCTGATCCTACATGTCAGAATGTGCAATATAGAACCACGTGCGTCACTGTCACTTTACTGAGTCCCTGTGCCCTCACTAGCCTTAGTTTGGACATGCCTGGTTTAGTCACATTGTTAATCATTGCTCCTGTGAGGAAGACATCAAAATTATTTATAGACCTGCACTTGATTTTTTCTCTCAGGAAACAGAATAGAAATGTTTTTAAATATTTATATATGTAGCGTTACTATCTTTTCTCAGGTCAGTCCCCTGATTGACGACAACACACGCAAGAAGTTTCTGGTCTACGCAGGGAATGACTACCAAGGTCCCGGAGGACTGGTCGACTACATCAACGCAGAGTCCATCCCAGACTTTTTAGGAGGAGACTCGATGGTGAACTCATCAAATGAATTAATCTCCTATATTGGTTTACAGACTGCCTCTTAATATGTATGTTTCTTGTCATGCAGTGTGACATTCCCGAGGGCGGGATGGTGCCTAAGTCTTTGTACAGGACGGCGGAGGAGCTGGAGAGTGAGGAGTACCGACTATTAACTGATTCTATTTACAAAAGTGCCTCCATCTTCAAAGGAGCTCCTTATGAGGTACACTTCACATGAGTGTTGTAGAGCGAGGTTAGGATGCCCTCAACTGGACAACACACATACTGCAGTCTCATACCACTCATCAGCATTGCAATTTTACTGCTCATTCAGGGCCTGTACATATTAGCTGTGTGCATTTTGAGACAGTGAATAGAACGTATAATTGTCTTTAAAATGAATATAACTTGTACTGGACATAATTGTAAAGGAGTGTGTGCAATATCAAAATTGTAGATCTTCTGCTATAGTTTTCCCTCCTCGTGTGCACACAAGTTGTTTTAGAACAATGATTTCTTGTCTCTCCTGCCTTTACAAAATAATATGGGGATACATCAGAAGCATCATGCAGGTATACAATTGAAATTATGTGCCTCTCACTTTGTTGTTTTGACATAGCAGTGGCTCAGTTGGTAGAGCATTGACCTTTGAGCCTGAAGGTCATGGGTTCGAGCCCACATGAGACCTTCCCCACTGACTCCACTGCTGTCATTGTGTCCTTAGGCAGGACACATAACCCCCTTTGCCTTAAAGGAGCGCAGAAATAATGTTTGCTGAAGGTCTTGATTAGGAATGTAAATCGGCGACCGTTTAACCGGTGGTTGACCGTCACAGCGTTAACCGGTCAAAGCTGTCGGTTAAAAAAAGAGAAAAAGGGGAGAGGGGAGGTCTCTTAATAACGCTATTTTAAGCCCTATTTGCACGGTGTGACGAGCGGGTCTGTATCTAGCTGTGTGCGCCCATGTATTATAAACTCCGGGACGACTCTCACGCCGCACGAGCCACATATGCACACACGCGCACGCGCACACACGCGCACACACACACACACACACACACTTTCCCCCTCTCCATACGTAACATCCACACGCATCATCTCTCCTCTGTTACCGTCAAAGTTGCACACTGGCGCGGGTCAGAACTACATTGGAGCTTACATTTACACACACACACATATACATACACACACACATACACACATACATACACACATACATACACACACACATACACACACACACACACCGGTCTGTCGCGCTCCTCTGTGTCACGGAGCCCAAAGGATTCGCGCAAATACACGGCTCCAGTCAAACCACATGGAACATGTTTGTGTTTATGGTCCTCGGGATCAGCTCCACACACATCACTTGTATTTAAACTTTTGTGAAGACCTGTGAGACGCGGCTCGTCACTCGCTGCTCTGACCATGTGAACGAGCCGTCGTTTGCTGCTAGAAAGTTTTGGTATTAACCCGCAGCACAGCAGAATGGGAAGATTAAAAAAGCAGTTCTCTGTGCGCAAAGGTGCCGGAGCTGTTGCGGGTTTTGGCGCCGCTGTCTCAACTCTGATCCAGTAGAACGCAGAGCTGCACTTATGAAAAGTACGCGGCTCGAAATGGCTGTTATTTCAAAGAACGTGGACTATTTTAAACTACGCGGTTAACCGGTTTCAACCGGTTAATGAGGCTCGGTGGTCGGTCATGAAAATTCATAGTTTTTTACATCCCTAGTCTTGATGTGTATATGTGTATGTGTATTCATCAATCTGAAATGTCCCCACTGTGCGACGAATAAAGGACCTTCTTCTTCTTCTTCTTTACATTGGCCCTCACACCGCCATTGCATTATGGGGCGAGCAGACTCTTTATATTATATCTTTTGGTTTAGATGAATAATATTTTCCAAATGTTGCTAGGGTACCTAACTTTTGTTTTCCTACATGCATTTAGTTTGTAGAAACGGAAAGAACAAAACAAATCAGACAACAACCTACTGTCCTCATCTTTTTAGAAGACATGTTATCTTTAGTATACTTGTAAGAAAGAGCCCTATTTGACACAAACTAGTGATAGAACCAAACTGAGAACGAGTAATTTCATTTCATAGTTACATTTGTTGTTTGTCTGAGTTCATCCAACATTAGTTTTTGTAATTACTGTAAGTTTTCTTTTGTCTGTAATTTCTTTACAGTAATAACATTTACAATAGCTTGTAATTGTATTTATAATCTCTCCCCTGTCTCTCTCAGATGCTAATTGAGATTTCCGAGGCCTCGTCCGTGATCACGTGGGATTTTGACGTGTCCAAAGGCGACGTGCTCTTCCATCTGTACCACTCCAAACGGGCCCCTCAGCCTCAGAGGAAAGAGGCGCTGGGGGCCCACGGGATCACCTCACTGGGGGCCATGAATACACCACTCATAGACAAGAGCTGGGTGCTGGGAAAGGACTACAGCATGGTGGAAAAGGCCCTCCTCTGCAGGGAGGGCGAGAGCGTGCAGGTATTAAGGGGGGTTATTTATGTGGAACAAATGAATAGTATTCTTTGTATGGAATAGTTGTGGATTCTTGTTGGTTGAAGGTTACTAGTCTAGTGCGCTGTTTTTAAAAGCAGAAAGTGGCCTGCTGAATCTCCTCACAATTGAATGATGACTACACTGTGCATGTCTGGGAGAATGCTGGTGTGTTTTGGCTGCTGCTGCTCCATGTGTCTTATTTTAGCTATTTTGAAAGCACTTGGTCTCTGAAATTGTGCACAATAAGGGATAATGGAACAAACAAATATCCCCCAGAGATACAGAAAGCGATATTGGGTCTTGTGAGTGTGTTTTACCTTCTACCTACCTCTGTTTACTCGAGAAGAGCTGTCACCTACCGGTTAGTCCTGTCTGTTATCCATAATCCATCGACAGTACTTTTCCAGTATACAGCCACAGAGTTTAAACCAGCACTGCTCCAGCACCCGGACATCCTATACGTGCCACGGCAGAGGTCCACCCATCGGGGTTCACGTCGGAACTTTCAATTTGACACTTCCTCTTCCATCAAGTCCTTCTGGTCCACCATTTTGTTCGTTTACCGCACTGCTCTCCGAATGTCTGGGAGTCTCGCAGTCATACACCATGAGACCTGGAAGGCGCTGCCCGTGAATGTGCTGGCCTGTCATTCACCAATGTTTGAAAACTTTCTGGACACATCTCCACATTTCTTGCAACTATCTAGAAGAATTCTACTGGAAGATTTCAATATCCACATGGACAAGGCCAATAACTCACTCACGAAAGATTTCACCTCCTGTCTGGATAGTTTTGGACTTAAATAGTTTGTGACTTCCCCACTCACAATAAAGGACATATTCTGAACTTAATCTGCTGCTCAGGAATAACACTATTGGACTGTCAAACTGACCACCTCCCATACACAGACCTACTACAGATCTACTCCTCTTCAATGTTTTCACCAAATCCAACCCACCACGCACAATCCATTTCCGTAAAATCAAGGACATTAACCCACCTCTTCTCCTCCATCACCTCCCCATATGTCAAGCAAATCTCCACCTTCATCCAAAAATCCAAATCATTCTGCTGTCAACTTGACCCCATCCCCACTGTACTTGTTAAAGCCTCCTCTCCTGCACTTCCTCTCATCACAAACATACTAAAAACCTCCCTGTCTTCTAGTACTGGGCTCTCCCCTCTCAAAACTGTCACTTCCATTCTCAAGAAACCTGGTCCTGATCCCTCTGACCTCAATAACCTCCGGCCCATTTCAAACATTCCTGTCATCTCCAAACTTAATGAAAACAATGTTACTGCTCAACTCCACTATTACCTTTCTGACAATAACCTCTTTGAGCAATTTCAATCTGGCTTCTGTTCCCGCCACAGCACTGAAACCGCCCTCCTCAAAAGACCTCACCAAAGACCTCCTCACTGCTGACTCTCCATCGTCCTCCTGCTTGATCTCAGTGCAGCATTTGACAGCATCTCCCATTTCATCCTTCTGCGCAGACTCTCCTCTATTGGCATCACAAGGACTCCCCTCTCTTGGTTCTTTTCCTACCTTTCTTTCCGCACCCAGTTCATTCAGCTAAAATCCTTTTCCTCTCTTTCTTCTCCCGTCATTTCTGGAGTGCCTCAGGATTCTGTCCTTTGTCCCTTGCTTTTCTTAATCTACCTTCTCCCTCTTGGTCACATTTTCCAAAAACATGTCATTCACTTCCACTGCTATGTGAACGAGACCCAGCTCTATATCTCCAGCAAACCAGATTCCACACTCCCACCCTCCTCTCTCACTAACTGCCTCAATTAAATAAAGTCCTGGTTCACTGCAAACTTCCCCAAATTTAACAGCAATAAAACTCGATAAATTCTCATCGGCACCAAATCTTCTCTCAATAAAATCAACCATTTTTCCATTCCCATTGACGGCTCCTCCATTACCCCATCTCCGTAGATAAAGAGTCTGGGTGTCATCCTCGACAGCACCCACTCCTTCACCGCACACATCAACAGCATTACCCGCATCGCCTACTTCCACCTTACTGGTTCCTAACCCTAACCCTCAAAACAGTTCTATCATGAGTTGCCATGTGCTTTCTGCCCAAATCATCAAACAGTGATTCTTAGGGGTTCTCTTTTTTAAACGTTGTGTTTTTTATGATTTTTTTTTTGCCTCTGCTTAATCTTTTGAAGTTTTTTACTCTCACACTGTATACACATTTCTCTCTCTTTCCCACATTTTAGAAAGATTTTATATCTGAATGTTTGTAATATACTGTATATGTCTCTAGTGTAGATTTGTAAATATTGTTAATTTTAGTCGGGTCCTGTCAGTTCATATGAGAATGCCAAGCTCACAAGCTTCTCTGCGCTCAGGGCTCCCACGTGACACGCTGGCCCGGCTTCTACATCCTGCAGTGGCGCTTCCACAGCTCCGCAGCCTGCACCGCCTCCTCTCTGCCCCGAGTGGACGACGTGCTGGCCTCTCTGCAGGTCTCCACCCACAAATGTAAAGTCATGTACTACACCGAGGTGCTGGCGTCTCACGACTTCAGGTCTGTGCATCTGTCAAAGCGATTACAGTTACACCTGCAGAGCTCATGGTACAACACCCTACAGACTTCACACTCACTGCGCCTGTAGTCGAAAGTGCATCTCTGACATATTTTTTATATTGGTTTTATATAGCGCTTTTTAGACACTCAAAGACGCTTCACATTCTTTCTCTCATTATACAGTGGTGAAAACCACTACCGTAGCCACAGATGCCCTGGGGCACACTAACAAAAGTCATGCAAACAGTGCATGCCATCAACCTTTCACTTACACATAAGACTCACTCATGTCAATGTGGTTTGCCTAAAGACACAACATTATACAGCTGCAGCCCCCCTGGTTGCGCCTGGTCTTGCATCACATTTCCCTGTTTAGCGTCATAGGTCCCACAGTATCTAGCTTTCACATGCAGGTGGCACCATTTTAGCAATTATATTCCCTGGACCACCTCCACGGCTTCTTATGTTTCCTCCCCAAATATGTTTGCTCAAATATGTTTTGAGCAAGCTTTGATGAAGATTAAGAGATTTTTGACATACAGTGGGGAAATTTCAGTGTTGCATTACAGAACAGTAGATGAAGAGCACACAACACAAGATACAGTGCCTTGCGAAAGTATTCGGCCCCCTTGAACCTTTCAATATTTTGCCACATTTCAGGCTTCAAACATAAAGATATAAAATTTTAATTTTTTGTCATGAATCAACAACAAGTGGAACACAATCGTGAAGTGGAACGAAATTTATTGGATAATTTAAACTTTTAAAAAAACTGAAAAGTGGGGCGTGCAATATTATTCGGCCCCTTTACTTTCAGTGCAGCAAACTCACTCCAGAAGTTCAGTGAGGATCTTTGAATGATCCAATGTTGTCCTAAATGACTGATGATGATAAATAGAATGCACCTGTGTGTAATCAAGTCTCCGTATAAATGCACCTGCTCTTTGATAGTCTCAGGGTTCTGTTTAAAGCACAGAGAGAACCATGAAGACAAAGGAACACACCAGGCAGGTCCGAGATACTGTTGTGGAGAAGTTTAAAGCCGGATTTGGATACAAAAAGATTTCCCAAGTTTTAAACATCTCAAGGAGCACTGTGCAAGCAATTATATTGAAATGGAAGGAGTATCAGACCACTGCAAATCTACCAAGACCCGGCCGTCCCTCCAAACTTTCATCTCAAACAAGGAGAAGACTGATCAGAGATGCAGCCAAGAGGCCCATGATCGCCCACTTTTCAGTTTTTTATTTGTTAAAAAAGTTTAAATTATCCAACAAATTTCATTCCACTTCACGATTGTGTCCCACTTGTTGTTGATTCATGACAAAAAATTAAAATTTTATATCTTTATGTTTGAAGCCTGAAATATGGCGAAATGTTGAAAGGTTCAAGGGGGCCGAATACTTTCGCAAGGCACTGTATGTGAAAATTAAGTAATCAAAGTATACACTGTGTAAATAAACATATACGTTTACATCCATAGATAAATCTGTAATACACTCTAGTGCAAGAATATAGACGTAACAACTCATTAGCTGTGTGGGTTCAAATATCCACAGTGATGACACTACTGTACAATAAAGGCTGTAATAGAGTCCTCCTCTTTATTGCTTCATGCTCACACTCACACTGGTCCCTCTCTGTTGTTCCAGAGGCTCCATGAGCAGCTTGGCCTCCAGTCACAGCGGTTTCTCCCAGCTCAGCGCCATGACCACCTCCTCTGGCCAATCACTGGGCAGCTCTACCTCTTCCAGCCAATCACAGGCCAGTTCAACCCTGTCCAGGTAGCATCCGACCAGCACCACTGTGAAGCTCTCAACTGCTCTATTCTCCAACTAAGGACAGGAAAAGTGGTGTAGAAGGCTTGTATGGACCTTTTTTAATAATTCTGACTGAAGTTAATATGTGCATGTGAACTTTCTATGCATGGAATGCACAATGTCATTCACTAATGTCATTTGTAGGAGATGCTGTTGTCCACTAGATGTCAGTGTTGTCCTCTGAAAATGTTGCTGTTCACAGGAATGGTTTTCTTTTTACATGTCTTGAAAAATAAAGAAATATATAATACATTATGGCATGTATTTTTTTGGTCTGACATAAAAATAAATAAATATGAATTATGCTTTACATGATCACATACATACTGTACAAGCTGGATCTGGATTTATACACAAACACATATATGTATTTATATCTATACAACACATAGGCATACATTGACTGCCAATGATCAGTGCATGGCTTAAAAAATAGAATCCAGCTGTAGATCTATATCCAGATGCTTTTTTGGCAGTCTGACATAATTTTGCTATTTGATATTTAATATGTTATGTTCAGCATTCGAAACTATGTTATACTTGCCCTTAAGTTTTCATGTAAGTTTTGACTGTTAGCCAGCAACATGGAACTAATCTGTGCCATCAGCCCCTCCGCTACAACCACCAACCATTCACACAAATAACAGGCTCAGAGGGAGAAGTGTCTTGCCAAAGAACACAAGAACAGTGGGGCACTTTACAGTCACAGTTGTCCCATTGTGGAACCTAGTGTTTCCAGAGGTCTCCCATCACAATGCTAACCAGACCCTGCCTTGCTTAATGTCACAAGTTTGATTAAAACAGTTATTTAATCTGCATGTGAAAGCCTAAGTACAACTTTATGTTTAAATACATACAATAAATACAACAAAATGATTAAATTAAAAATACAATATCTGCATTTACATTCACATTTCTCATATACTGGGATAATTAAAAACTATGAACTCAGAAGGGGGTGTGAAGTTTGTGCTGTTCAGTTCTGTCTTTTTAAAGCGCCTTCGGACATCTGAAAAGAACTAAACGAACGAAGAAAGCCTTTTACAGTGCACAACATTCTTACAAATTCACAATAACACACTAAATCTCTCATAATTCGTTTTCGACTCCTTGGACCCGGCGTTTGCATTTTAACAAGCCCCTAATTTGGAAGCAATATCTCGCTGGCTTCTGTAATGTGGCACACGGCCGCTGATTTACATAAAACTTTAATTTCCCCACACTTATCAGATGCTCCCAGCTACAAAGTGATTGAATTTCCCCCATAGTTCACATGTTCCCTTGTTTCATTGTCTGGAAAAGGAGTACAAACAGCATTGTTGCTCCTATGGCTGACAAAATCAACAAGCTAGCAAAAATTGGCCCTTTTAGGAAATAATTTGTGAACTTGATAAATTCCTGAGTGTTGTATGGTGAGTTACTACTGGTTATAATGACCTCCCAGGACACTAAAGGCCTCACATGGTCCAGTGGGTCTTGTGTGATTCTGCAGTGACAAGAAGTGGGACCTAGGAGGCGCTTTTGTGATGTGATTGTGTATGTGATGAGTCCGTGGAGGAGGGAGAGCTTTGCCAAAAATGTTTCCCAATGTGTGGCTACAGATCATTTACAAGTTTAATGTTTACCTGACCGGATTGAAGCATGCCTGTTGCATTATAATTGGTATACTTGGAAACTATGACTATTTTCTTACTCATGTTTTCATGTTTGTGGTTTGCACTCTCAGCAAGAAGGTCCAGGGTCTAAATACTTGTGGGAACAAGGGAGGGAGTTTTCATGTTCTCCCCATTTCTATGTTGGATTCCTCCGGGTGCTCCTGTTCCCCTACTACTAAAAACACGTATATATAAAAGCTTCCAGCTCTGCTCCTGACCAAGCTGAGCATCAACGTCTGGATATGCGTAAACTTTAGTTTACCAGCCTTGTCCAGGTGGCAACAAGCCAGATTGTTAAACTGTTTTGGCTGGATTCAGGCTTTTCTGAGGTTTACAATGAGCTACTGTATGACAGAGCTGTAGTTAAGACAAATGTCACTAGATACAATAGCACCATTAACGTGATTTTTTTTTTTGACACATTAAAAAACAAATGTCAACAACTGAATTCCAGATGTTCACAAAAAAAAAGTATACCATGCCTATGTTGACTGAGCTGAATTTGGCTGGATGACACTGTGAACATGTTATTATGATCTAAAAGCCAATTTTTGTTTATCACAGCAAAAGGCCAACAAACATGACACAGAGGGCCAACAGACGCTAGTTTGGACACTCCTGCTCACAATAAAAAGTGCTTTTGCATATACATATATTCTTAGATATTTCTGGAAGTTTGTGGCCAAAAATGTATTTTTGCAAAGTAAAACCATCCCTTCCAGTTTGTCTCTATTATTTCATCCAATTAAAATCTGACACATGACTGGGAACTGTGGGACCATAGACAGGGCCTGAGCATTTCAATTCCTGACTTGATCAGCGATCATTCCCATCTTTCAGAGTGGGAAGTTGGAGGTTCAGAATTTCTGAGATCACATGAACGTCAGAGAAAATTTTAAACAGAAGGGACAGAGTTACATATCTGTTAATTGTTTCCCAACTTTTAATTTTAATACAGAGTGAAAAACAATTTAAAATCTAAAAGAACGGGTCAAATTTCCAGGGACACTTCTCAATTTTCACTTCACTGAAAAATGAAAGTAATTGTGTTATAGTTAAAGCTGCACTAACTGACTTTGGGATTTTGAAGCCGTGGACTCGCTGGCCTCTCTCTTTCTGCTCCCCTCCCCGCACCCACGAAGCTATTGCCCCCCAGACACACTCACTGTTGGGACGAAGCTAGCGTCTCCCAATATGGATAATACATGGACATAGATTTGCACGTGGATGGCGTGACCATAGAACGATAGAACCGGGAAGCGCGGAGGAACGAGACTTTCTTTTGGATGGCTGTCTTGCTGTGTAAGCAGTAACCGGTGACGAAGACAAGGAAGCTTCAGGTTAGCTCCTCGTCTTGTTGTGCTAACTCAGCCGTCTATGCTAACGGACCTGTAGATTTCTCACGAAAGTGGGGGCTAGTGGTGCGCGGTGATTGGTCACAATCCGCGACCCAAAACACATTCTCTTCCTTGTTTCATCAAAACTCGATCTAAAATATAATGTCACGCCAGCACAAATCTGCGCTACTTTTTCGTCAAAAGGACGTATATCCCAATGCCCTACACGGACATGGATAGCATTTTCGTAATGAATACAAAAATAAAGTCAGTTAGTGCAGCTTTAAGTGATACTGGTCGTGCAGGTTTTTGGGTTTTACTAAATATGTAAGAATAGGGTGGTCCTTAAATACAGAAGTTGGTAATTCTAAGCTTCAACCCATTACATTTGTTGGATTAACAGAGAAAACTCCACTCGTGAATTTTTTTCTCAATTGGACCACCTCTACCCCTCCATCGATGACCTGTAAATATTTCCCTCCGGCCTCTTGGGGCGCTCATCGTCCAGGAATAAATTCAACATATAACAAGAAATATTTGAATACAAATTTAAGTTTTAACATCTGACTTGATTGCATTGAGAGCCAAAGCAATTTCCTAATGTATGCCCTCCTGTTACTTACATGGCAATAAAAATGATTCTGATTCTGAGATCCATTATCCAACTTTCAATTTCTATCCCAAATATCTGTTAATGTTCTCTTTACGGCAGCTAAGGCTGTCTATATCCTGTTTAGCTCTCCTCTGTCTTCTGTTGGTCATAAAATGCTAGAGTGAGAAATACCACAGTTTGTTCAGGGCTGCCTTGGCTAAGTCCGGGCTGGATGGAGTGTAGGGGTAAGCCATCAAACATTGAACTGGCTCTGGGGACTGTGTTGCAGGGACGTGCAGTCAGGGGAGGCAGGGGAGGCAGAGCCTCACCTGCCATTATTGGAAACTAATAATTATTTTAGTTTAAATATATAATTTATATCCACTGTCCTATGCTTTTAATGTATATTCGGCACGGTTCCCATCAGTTTTGATCATTTCTGAAGTCAAAATCGCCGAAATCCCGTTATTTTCTATTCAAAGAGACGAGGTGAGGCAGCGCTCCTGCGTGCCTCACCCCAGACCGCTCCCTCACAGTGTGTGTGTGTGTGTCTGAGTGCACTCAGCTCGTGCAGTTGATATATCACCGTTTGTTTCAAATATCCTGCTTTAAAAACATTTTTTAAACTCCTCTTAGTGTTTAGTAGTGTATTGCACGCATGTGTGTACAATTTATATTTAGTTTAAGTCTTTTGATCGTAGATGAACACACAAGGAAAAAGCTTGGCGTGAGGCAGGCGGTATCTGTGCCTCACCGCTAGGGGTGATAGTGAGCATAAAGTTCATACCAGAGTTGCTAACAAACAATCAGCCCAAAATGCTATTTCTTTTGCTGGAAAATGGATGATTTGAATGAAGATTTTTTTTCTCAATTGGACTTTCAAACAAAGAAAGAATTAATATAGACTGGGAGACCACCACTGGACTTACGAGGTTAGTCCGGCTGCGGGGGAGGAGTTTGTTAATCTGTGTTTTATGTTGAACATTGACAGATACCGGCAAAGTAGTGCTTTTCCGAAAAACACTGATTCAAACACTGCTCAAGAGTTCTGCAACTTGTTTAAATTATTGTTTATGTTCCTCGCGTCTCTCTCTCCTCGCGTCTCTCTCTCTCCCGTCTCCGTCTCTCTGCTCCTCTCTGTCTCTCTCTGCTCCTCTCTGTCTCTCTCTGCTCCTCGCGTCTCCGTCTCTCTGCTCCTCTCCGTCTCTCTCTGCTCCTCTCTCCTCGCGTCTCTCTCTCCTCGCGTCTCCGTCTCTCTCTGCTCCTCGCGTCTCCGTCTCTCTGCTCCTCTCTGTCTCTCTCTGCTCCTCTCTCCTCGCGTCTCTCTCTCCTCGCGTCTCTCGCACCTGCGCTTCTTAAAGATGTTGTTTGATGCGGAGCAGAG